CCCCCATAGCCTTCTCAATTAGTATCACCAAATTATCACTCATTTGATTAAGGGACAGTACAACCCTGAGGCGGGGCATGACTAATATGACCTCCCCAGTCCCTTTCAGTCCATCATATGAAGTAGGGGAAACAAAATTGGCAGCAATCCCAACCCACGCAATGCTTGCCCCAGGGGAGCCCCTGAGGACCAGGCAGACTCCAGCGTGGGCACGGCAGGCATTCTCCCAAAATGGGCAGCATGCCAAACCCTGCATGGCGACTGGTGTGGGAGGCCTGGAGACAGGAGGGGGGTCAGGGCCCACACTTCTCCCTCTTCCCTAAATTCAATTTCCCCAGCATAGGCCCCTCCCTGAAAGAGCCTACAAATCACTTGGGAGCTTATTAAAATGCAGATTCTGGTTCAGTAGGTCTGGGTTGGGGCCTAAGATTCTGCATTTTTAACAAACTCTTGAGTAACACTCATGCTGGTGGTCCATGGACCATACTTTGAAAAGCAAGGCTCTAGATGACTGTAGTAGTTTCTATAACTGTCTCCCAGGAAGTCTATCCATATCCTTCTGTCTATCCTCCAGATGGCAATGAGAATCATATCTCATCCCTTCCTGATTCAGAAATCTTACTCCATGGCACAATACACAATACAAACCTGGCTCATAAATTCCCTTCAAATGTGAAAAAACACATCCCTCACAACAGCCTCATTCTTTCATGACTCTTTAAGGTCCGTGTAACCTAGAATTACTGTCCCATTTCTTTTCCAACTCACCTATCCCTCTTTTATTTTCCAAATTGCTCCATAGGCATCCTCCTCCAGGAAGTGTCTCTTGACCAATACCTCTCTCTCAGTTTCTACTCAGACCTTCCCTTCCAAAGGAATGATGCCTCCTTCCCTATCCAGTTCCTAATTCTTCCTATTTCAGTCCATTTTTCTCCCCATATGGAGTATAAACTCTCTCTCCAAAGAATCTTAGATGCTCTCACAAGGTTTTTGCACCAGTCTCTCAAAACAGCATCTAAAGGAGCTGGAAAGTATTCAGGTAATCCTGTCTCTAGCAGGCTCCCCTGGAGTCACCTGCTCCCTATTGCGAATATGAGAAATTCCACAAATAATAAAGTAGCTTCCTATCCCTCCCTCCCAGGGCAGGCCCCATACATAAATATAATAGAAAAACACTGGCCCTTCTATGCCACAGCATAGAACTCTGCTTCAAGAAAGATGCCTGTTGTGCCCACGCTGGAGCCAGTCTAGACCTAGGGATTCCATGGAGTCAGGTAGAATGGGTTGGGCCTTCTATCAATTTTGCTACTTCCTGCCCCTCCCCCAAATCCCATGGGAATAGATGGAGAGGTACCAGAGGGGGTTGTTTCAGGCATTCTCCTGCCCCAGGGCTGTATTTTCCCTGCTGCTCTTTGAATGAACAACACTGTTCTTACTGCTGGGTCTAGAGGAAGGAGAGAAGGACCTCCCCCTTGCCCTGAGCAAGATTCCACTGTGATGGAACAGACAGGATAGGATAGTCACCAGAACTCAGGCATACCAAACAAAGGCAAAATTAGAAGTGCCCAGGTACAGTTCTAGATGCTGGGTACAGATCTTGATACAGTTCTAGACATAGTTCTAGATGGACAGAAATGCTGTTTGTCAAAGAGATTTTCCTAGAAGATAGTTTGAAAGGAGTGGCACAGTACTAGCCTGAAAGGAAGGAGAATTTTTGGTACAAAAGACATGTGTAAGGCTCAATTCAATTTAACATGAACTTACTAAAAGCTCATTTTGTGCCTGGTCCCCAGCTGGATGCTCTGGGGAAGTGAACAAGATACACTCCTTACCTATGATCTACAACCTAGGGAACAAAATAAATAAACTGTAGCATTTTATTTTTTTATTTCAGCTTTAGTCAGGAAGTATAACTGACATATAAAATTATAACATATTTAAAGTGTACATTGTGGTGATTTGATATATACACACACTGTGAAATAATTCACTATGATTTCCCCACTGTAAAAGGATTAACAATGGTATTTTAATCTGAATATTTCATTAAATGAAGGTAAGTGTTAAAAGGGCACCTTTGTTTCCCTCCCTTCATCTTTACATGTGGAAGGGCTTTAGCTGGAGCTTTGGTTTTCAAAGTGTGGTCCCCGGACCAGCAGCATTAGCATCACCTGGGAACTTGTTAGAAGTTCCTGGGCCCCACCCAGACCAACTGAATTCCAAATGCTGGAGTGGGGACCAGCAAGCTGTTTTCACAAGCCCTCCAGGTGAGGTGACACCGCCTGAAGTTTGAGTACCACTGAGGAGAGTACTATTCCCGGCTTCTCTCCACCCCACCCCACCCCACCCACACTGTGAACTTGGATTAGTGAGTTGAAGAGACAGCACTGAGCATGCCCAGCTCAGCCCCTTCCAGTTCTTTGCTGGTTTCCTTTTTTTATCCAGAACCAACCTGCCCACAGGACACATGCATTCAACCTGCTCATACATGAGAAAGTCTAATAAAAGCAGGCTCTTTCCTGTGGTAAGAGGCAGGGACTGCTCAGCACTACTTGTGATGAGGAATAAGTCTTTCTAATTTAGTGATGTGGTATTCCCAAGTCAATGAGGCTGCAGCTCTAAAGCGGACGGTTTAACCACCTGTCTGTATATCTTGATTATCAATTGGTTCCAAACATAGGAGGGGGGAAATGCGATGTTATTTATTGTACCTCTACAGCCCCAACAATGGGTTATAGTGAAAAGTGGGCAGGATGCAGGTTCAAATTTCGTGCAGTAGAGAGACCTAGTTGGGAGAATAACAGGACAAAAAACCAGGAAATTCTCAAAGTTTTTAACTAAACGGAACTTGAGAAATGATCAGTCCTACCTCTCACATTACAGATAAATAAGCAGAGCGACTTGCTCAAGGTCACATTGCTAGTTAGTGGTGGAAACAAGACTAAAACCCAGGACCCCTGGCTCTCAGCTGTGCACTTTCTGAGCAGGTGGACCAAAGCAGACAATAGTAGAGAAACTTTAAAGTCCAGGAATACAGATATCACCAAGTAGAAGAACCAACCCCAGGGATTTTCAGCATGGGTGGTGGGTTCAAAGCCAAAGTGCTTTGTGCTCAGAGGGAAGCTTCTGGCTCCAATCCACCTGTGCATGTCCTGTTGCCCCTCATACAGCCAAGCCTCCGTGGGCTCTGAACACTGCTTCGTTCTCCTGTCCTGTTCCTAGTGTCATTCTCTCCGCTAACAATCTCTCCCTGCCGCCCACTTGTGGCAAAACCCTATCTGTCCTTGGAGAGAGCCAACTCAAATGTCTGCCTCTACAAAGTCTTCTCTGATTTCACCACTCAACCCTCACCACTCTGCCAGCCACAAATGGTCATCCTCCACTCTGAATTTCCAAGACGCTTTATTTGTGTATTTCTTATGACAACACTTTCTGCTTTGTGTGGCAGCTAGGCTTTACCCACTGTAGTGGGATATAAGCTCCTAGGGCTGCCTGACTGGCTCAGTTGGTAGAGCATGGGACTTTTCATCTTGTGAGTTCGAGCCCCACGTTGGGTGTAAAGATTACTTTAAATCTTAAAAAAAAAAAAAAACGGGCGCCTGGGTGGCTCAGTTGGTTAAGCGACTGCCTTCGGCTCAGGTCATGATCCTGGAGTCCCAGGATCGAGTCCCACATCGGGCTCCCTGCTCAGCAGGGAGTCTGCTTCTCCCTCTGCCGCGCTCTCTCTCTCTCTCTCATTCTCTCTCTCAAATAAATAAATAAAATCTTAAAAAAAAAAAAAAACAGAATATAAGCTCCTTAAAAAAAAAATAAATGAAAACAAAATATAAGTTCCTAAAGGACAGGGACCATATTTCAGCTATTTTTTTTTTTTTGGTCTGTTTCTAGTTTATTTTTTTAGTGAAGTATAATTAACATACAGTGTTATCATATTTGTTTCAGGTGTACAATATAATGATTCAACATTTCTATACATTTCTCAGTGCTCATCAAGATAAGTGCACTCTTAATTCCCTCTATCTATTTCACCCTTCCTCCCACCCACCTCACCTTTGGTAACCACCAGTTTGTTCCTTGTATTTAAGAGTCTAGGGCATTTTTTTGTTTGTCTCTTTTTTTGGTTTATTCATTTGTTCTACTTCTTAAATTCCACATATGAGTAGAAATCATATGGTATTTGCCTTTCTCTGACTGACTTACGTCACCTAGCATTATATCCTCTAAGTCCATCCATGTTGTTACAAGTGGCAAGATTTCAAAAGCTTCTGCATGGCAAAGGAAACCATCAACAGAACAAAAAGGCAACCTACTGAATGGGAGAAGATATTTGCAAATGATACATCCAAAAAGGGGCTAATATCCAAAATACATAAAGAATTTACACAACTCAACACCAAAAACAAACAATTCAATTTAAAAATGGGCAGAGGACCTGAAAAGACATTTTTCCAAAGAAGACATACAAATGGCAAACAGACACATGAAAAGATGTTCAGCATCGTTCAGCATCAGGGAAATGCAACTTAAGACTACAGTGAGCTATTGCTTTACACCTGTCAGAATGGTTAAAATTAAAGACAAGAAATACAAGTATTGGTGAGGCTGAGGAGAAAAAGGAACCATCATGCAATGTTGGTGGTTGTTGGTCCAGTCACTATGGAGCCAGTCTGGAGGTTCCTCAAAAAATTAAAAATAGAATTACCATATGATCCAGTAATTCCACTATTGGGTATTTACCCGAAGAAAACAAAAACACTCTTTCTAGTTTCGTTTAATAATAATTTTTAAAGCCAGTAAGCAGACACAATTGAAAAGTAGACAAGTTTAAAAAAAAAGAAGATAAGAAAGAGCAAAAACACGTCCTTCACTCCACAATAAACACAGAGCTCTATTAGTGTTTCCCTACCAACACTCCATGGGAGGCCTAGCTTTCTGTGTGCTCAAGAGTACTCTCCACCACAGTCCAGGGAGACCAGACAGCATTTAGGTGTGATGATGTGTCAAATCGAACATGAACTGGCACTACTCAGTTCAACGTCCTCAGTTTGTGCCCTGACTAAAGCGGGTTTAATCCTCCACGCATGCTGGATCCCATAGCCAAAGTAGATAGCCAGCCCAATCAGCATCCAGACACCAAATCGGGCCCAGGTACCAGCTGCCATCTGCATCATAAGGTAAACATTCACAAAGATGCTCAGGAGTGGGAGGAGAGGCAGAGCAGGGACCTTAAAGTAAAGGGGAGTGGAGCTCTGGGGCTGTCTACCGATGACCCCAGTGATCCCAGTGACGAGCACCAGGAGCAGCACAACCGCTGTAACCAACACTGGGTCTCCAGAGAGCAGCAGACCTGGCCACTGAGCCAGCACCAGGCAGAGAAGAGTCAGCAGCAGAGCAAGCAGGGAGGCGCAAACAGAGACAACCCGGCCAGAGAGTGCAGTGGGGGTGGGGCTGCCTGGACAAAAGAGTCCCCACAGGGTCAGCTTCTCCACCACAGGTCCACTCTCCTGGTGCGCCCCTGTTGCACTGTCTTCATCCTTCATTTCAGGCTGATACCTGACGATGAGAACACAAATAGCCACCAGGGAGTAAGTAAGCAGGGTCCCAATCGACATGAGGTCCACAAGATCAGTGAGTCCAAAGAGGAGTGTCACGAAAGCTGCAATAATGCCCGAGGCCACAGTGGCCACGATGGGGATGCCTGTTCTGGTGCACGTCCTGGCAAGGACACCGAACAGGAGGCCGTCATCTGCCATCACATAGATCATCCCACGAAGGAGGAACATAGAGTCCAAGATGCCGGTAGAAAGAGCACAGAGGGCTCCAATAGCCACAACATAGCGGGCAGGGGCCCAGCCAATATGGAGAAATGCCTCAGCCAAGGGGCTCCCAGGCGGAAGCTGGTAGTAAGGCACCATGAGCGTAAGTGCCGCGGTGACACCAAAGTACACCAAAAAGCAGATGAGCACGGAAATCACAATGCCCATGGGGACGGAACACTTTAGATTCTGGGCTTCTTCAGCAGCGACGATAATGCTGTCAAAACCAGTAAATGCATAGAAACAGGCAGCTGTTCCACGGAGAATTCCCTTGAAGCCAAAAGGCACAAATCCTCCAGAGCCCAGAGGGCCCAAGCTAGAAGTGTCATTGAGTCTAAACATGGTCATTATGCAGTCCTCTTCTGTGAGCTTCCAGCTGTGCAGCTTCCCCTTAGTGAAGCCAGAGATGATGACAAAACCAAGAACCAAAAGGTTCACCACTGTGAACACTGTAGTAAGTGGGACAAACTCACTGGCCCTCAGAGCCAGCAATCCAGTGAGCAACACCACCAGGCCCACAGAAAAGAAGTCTGGATATTCTGTAAGGACATAGGGAACATAGAGTGAGATGTTCTCATGCAAGGTCCGAGAGATCTGGTTCCCAATCAGGTTGTCAAAAGCTAAGCTCCAGGCTCAGGCCATACTGGCCGTACCAGTAACATAGGAGAGGATGAGGTTCCAGCCAGTGATGAAAGCCCAGAGTTCACCTACAGTGACATAGTTGTAGAGATACGCAGAAGCAGACTGGGGGACGCGGGCACTAAACTCTGCATAGCATAGAGCAGCCAACACAGAAGACAGGGCGGCTACCAAAAAGCAAATCACAATGGACGGTCCTGCTTTATCACTGGCCACCTCGCCAGCCAGGACATACACACCTGCACCCACTGTGATGCCCACACCCAGGACCACTACATCCAGAGTGCTCAGGCTTCCGTCAGAGGAAATGAAATCTTAGCCACGGATTGCTCCAGTGTATGTCTACGTACTAACTTTTTACCAAATCTGCAAAGTGCCTGGCATAGCATTCTAGCTGGAATCGAAGAGGATTCTAGGATCAGAGCACTGTAGCAAGCCCAGGGAGCACAAGAGTCTCCGACTGGGTTCGGTGAGGCTGAGTTAAGCCGAGTTGGGTTGGGTCTGCCGAGTTCGGGTGCTCAGGCTTCAAAGCTGCTGCTTCGTATTTCGTCTTATGTGTGCTCTCCCTCCATGATGCCTAAGATACAGTAAACAATAAATATTTACTGAACCCATATTCAACCAACCAACCAAAGCTCAGGAGTCATATGTCACCTGTTGCAGCCCAAATATCACAGAAACGGACACCAAAGGACATTACAGAAAAAATAAGCTCTGCTTTCCCCCCAGAAAAAGTGCCAAATACCTCCCAACATTCTGCTACGCACCACATGACATAATCCCATTTGGGTTCGTCTAACTCATGTAGCTTCATGTACTAATTAAGCTGTAAGACACAACAGGGCATGAATTTATTGTGCAATAATTCACACGCGGGATGTTTGCGCAGTGCTTGGGCGTGAGTTATGACACATTAATTCACGGCCTAGAGGGCCTCGTTGCAATTACAGACCCATTTTTTAAATATCATCTCAGTTTAAAATACAAATATTGGTCCCCCAATCTTAAAACCCTTAGCCCTCAAATCAGCTAGCCAAGGTCAGATGGCACCTCGGCCCCCTTCCTCCTCGTTCTGCGTCATCCATTTAGCTGTACTGATGGCCAAGGAAGTATAGTCCAACCCTTCGCCTTACCCACCTAGCCCCACAGGGGCACTGTGAGAAGAGAAGAGGGAGAAAGGGGCAGGGCCTTCATAACTACCTGCCATAATGGGAGGAACAGGCTGTTGGGTAAGGAAGCACGGGAGAAATGGATGCAGCGGGCAACCCAGGGTCCATGACTAAGAAGGGAGAAGAGCCAGAAAGGCCGTTTCATGAATTCTGACATTCAATAAACTTCACCCAAAGCAACCAGGCAAAATTCACTACAATTTTTATGTCCACAGTTATGAGAGTGTGATGGGTAGGGAGAAAAGAAATAAGTCACCCAGCTCAGTCGCTCACAACCAGAACAATTCCTTCTGTCTCCTCCCTCTCTGGGTTCTGGGAGGAAAGGTGAGCTCACTTCTGCAGACGACTCTCCTCACTGGCCACACCATGCTCTATAAACACCCTGCACCATCTGTGATGTCAGCCGCCAGCCACCTGGAGAATCTGCCCTGCTCTGTGAGCTTGTATTAAAACACTCACTTATAACTCCCTATTAATTTTTCACGAGGAGTTATTTTTAACTCGCTCAAACCATTGTCTGAATATGCCAAATATATTTTCTTAATGAACGAACCCGGCGTGTGGTTCCTCCTTCCCCTACTCCCCTGCTGCTATTCAAATGGTCCTCTCCTCATGGGGAGCAAGGCTTTGGATGAGCAATTCACAGCAATGCCCCGGAAATGAGTAGTGGAGAACAGAGAGAACAAAGTCATGCAACCCCCACTCTCCTCCCTACTCGGGCTTTGGTTTTGAGAGAATTTTAGGAAATCTTGTCATGGGTTTTTAAAGACAGAAAAATCAAGTCAAAATTGAAAAGTCTTCTCTACAGATTATCAAAAGGAACCCTTGGGTTATTGGGTCAGACCTTCCATCTACAAATCCATCAGGACTCCTTATTTGCTACCCACCAGTTCCAGTGTTCTGATTTACTAACGAGCACACGAGATAGATAAGGAGGGTCCATTCTTAATTCATGGAACCTTTCTACACTATAAATATGATTGAAGTGTCCCCCACTCATTCCAGGCTTCAAACCCATCAGTGGTTCCCCACTGCCCTTCCTTTATAATGCTTCCTTCCTTCATAATCTTACCTGTACTTATTCCTCTAGCCTCATCCCCTACCCAGTTCCTGCCCCAGCTACAAAATTCTACACTCACTCTGTTTCCTTGCCTCTAATGCCCTCTCGGCCCCCTTCGCATAGCTAAGCCCTCCTTATCTTTCAATTCCCACCTCAGAAGTTGCCTCCCCAGGAAGGCCCCCCTGATCCTTATGCTGCCCTTCCTATGTGCTCTCATAGCAGCTGGGCTTCCCGCATGTGCCATTGATCCTAATGGATCAAAATTTCAGGGGCTCCTGGGTGGCTCAGTCGGTTAAGTGTCCGACTCCTGATTTCGGCTCAGCCTTGATCTCATCGGGGATCTGCTTGAGATTCTCTCCCTTTCCCTCTCCCCCTCCCCCTGCTTGCTTGCTCTCTCTCTCTCTCTCTCTCAAATAAATAAATAAAATCTTAAAAAAAAAAATTCCAATTCAGCTGCCTGTCTCCTCCTCCTGAGAGTTAGGTGCTCAATAAATATTCGTTGAACAAATGTACAAACTGAGAAGAGTAACCTGAAATAATCCAGAATTCCTATCTACTTGACTTTGAGATACATACCTTGTAATCAAGCAACCTTTATAAACCTTACTCAGGTAAATATATAAATGGTATTACCTTCCTTGTAGAAGGCAATCAAAATGAAAAGCGTGGAGGGAAAACCAACTGTGATAAAACCTTGACCGCAGATCATTCGTGGCAGGTATAAGCCACACACAGGTGATAAAGAATTGTTGGCCTTTGAGGACACTTGTTTTAAAAATATCGGGCTGCTGGGGCACCTGGGTGGCTCAGTCGGTTAAGCGGCTGCCTTTGGCTCAGGTCATTATCCCAGGGTCCTGGGATCGAGCCCCGCATCGGGCTCCCTGCTCAGCGGGGAGTCTGCTTCTCCCTCTCCCACTTCCCCTGCTTGTGTTCCCTCTCTCGCTGTGTGTGTCTCTCTTTGTCAATTAAATAAAATCTTTAAAAAAAAAAAAATATCGGGCTGCCTTGGGTTATAGGCAACCAACCACCCACACCCAGTTAGAGAATCCCTACTTTTTCGAAGGCATCAGGTCCAGAACCTATAATCTAGTCAGGATGCCCTAAGGCAGAGGCACTCACCTCAGGGGACAGAAGGAGGCCTAATGAAGACACCTGGGGAACATTTTCAAACTTCAGATCCCCTCCCTCTGAAGATTCCTGTCCACCTAGCCCCTCACTTCCCATGACTGCTGTAAGCCACCCCTACTGACAAGAAATTGTCCTACATTCAAAGGGAAGAGTTCTAAAAGCTTCCTTCATGGGAAGGCAACCCAGTTTAGTAGTTAGGAGTAAAGGCTGTGTAGACAGACTGTTCAGGTTCAAATCATAACTCAACCTCTGGACAAATTAGTTCCCCTCTTGGTGCTTTAGTTTCCACAAATGGGAGTAAAAGTAAATACCTCATGGGGTTGTTGAGAGAAGTAAGTGAAATGATGCTTGGGAAGTACTCAGCTCAGTGCCTAGCAAACCATATGCACGCAATATGACCTACCTAATATTTAATGTTAACATCTGATCCAAAGTCCCCAAACTTTGAAAAGCAATTAATCTTTATAAATGTCCAGCCTCAAAATCATGCACTAAAATTCAAACCTGTTAGCTAGCCCTCATGAGAAAATGAAAACTGTTTTATTCCATATAATTTGCCTTGAAATTCTAAGGACTCTAATTAGACAACCGCATACATGCTGGTGCTAAACACTCTGGGGTGCTAGACTGACAGTGTTAGACCAAACATTGAAAAATGCAAGGCTTGGGGTGCTGGCTGGCTCAGTGCGTAGAGCCTCCAACTCTTGATCTGGGAGTTGTGAGTTCAAGCCCCACTATGGGCAGGGAGCCTACTTAAAAAAAAAAAAAAATAGAGGTCAAAGAAGAGAAGAAAATTACAAGACTCAAATACAGTAATTATAATACTATCTTTGTCTACAGATGCTTCGTCTTATTTCTAAAAGAGGCAGTGCTGGGTACAAAGTGGTAAGAGCAAAGAACATTATGTCAAAAATTTCGGATTTGAGCCCTGGCTCTTTCACTTACCTATATAAACTCAGGTAATCTGCTCAATCTGTCTAAAACTCAGTTTCCTGGGCGCCTGGGTGGCTCAGTTGGTTAAGCGACTGCCTTCGCTCAGGTCATGATCCCAGAGTCCTGGGATCGAGTCCCGCATCGGGCTCCCTGCTCTGCAGGGAGCCTGCTTCTCCCTCTCCCTCTGCCTACTTGTGTTCTCTATCTCTCTGTCAAATAAATAAATAAAATCTTTAAAAAAAATAAATAAAAAAAAATAAAACTCAGTTTCCTTGTCCTTAAGGAACCTTACTTTCCTTCCCTTACTGGATCGATAAGAGAATTCAGTGGGAAGACACAAACTATCACATGCTGCCGGTGGGAGTGCCACTGATGCCACCATCCTGAAGCACAGTCTCAGTGGAAGTAAGAACACACACACCCTCCCACCCCACAATCCCTCTCCTAGGTACCTACCCCAAGGAAACTCTCCTGAGTCCATAAGGAGACCCATATGAGCACGTTCATCACAAGACTGTTTGCGGTCGCAAGAGGTTAGAAGATATGCCAGCATTCTGTTACTAGATGAATTTATAAGTAAAATGTGCACACTGAAGTAACTCACAGCAGTCAAAAATAATAAAGTAGATTTACAGATAGCAACATGGGTAGATCTCAGAAACAATGTTACGTAGGAAAAGCAAAAGCAGGGTGAGGGGTATGGCACAATGCCATCTATACACATTTTAAGAACAGCCCCCAGATGCTGTATGTTTGTCAAGGATACACATATATCTGCTAAAAATGTCATGTCATTCCTCTGCTTAAAACCTTCCGCTGGTGTCTCTTTTTCAGTCAAGAGTAGAAGCCAAAGTCTGCATTTACAATGGCCTACAAAGTCCTACAGTATTTGCACTGACCAAGCTACATCTCAGCCTTCTGTTTCTCCCTCTTCCCATTCATTTTTCTCTAGCCACTGGCCTTCTAACCATTCCGGCCTCCTAACATACCAGGCAAGATCCTACCTGAGGGCCTTTGTCCTTGCCATCCCCTATAAATGGACCACTTCCACCCCAGATAGCCACGCGGTGGCTCCGTTAACTGCATTTACAAACAGCAC